ACAACATACTCAGTCTATATAACCTGAACGTATATAATCTCAGGGTTGACCATTTCCCCCACTTTGGGCATTCCTTCCTTACCTATAGTTCTTTGTTTGGGCCTGAGGCCCCACAAACTCCCCCTTCCATGTTAGCATGTCTGTTGTTAGTGTCCTTCTTCAGGTCTTGTTTAGGAAACCTTGCTGATGAAACGTCATGTGTATAGCTTCTCTGAGATTTTTTTTTTGTTTTGTTTTGTTTTTCGAGACAGGGTTTCTCTGAGTAGCTTTGCGCCTTTCCTGGGACTCACTTGGTAGCCCAGGCTGGCCTCGAACTCACAGAGATCCGCCTGGCTCTGCCTCCCGAGTGCTGGGATTAAAGGCGTGCGCCACCACTGCCCGGCCACTTCTCTGAGATTTTTAGGAGACAAGATCTCAGAGCATACTTCCTCTGACTCTTACAATCTTTCTGTCCCCTCTTCTGCAATGATCCATGAGGTTAGGTACAAGAATTGTCTTGTAGATGTATCAGTTGGGTACCACCATCTCTGTTTTCTGCATTTTGATTGGTTGTGGTTTTTAGTAATGGTCTCTGTCTGTTGTAAAGATCAGTTTCTTTGATGAGGGCTGAGAGCTACACTTATCTATGGTATAAGAATAAATACTTACAATGTAGTTAGGAATTATTCTGGTTCAGTAAAGTGATAGTTGTTGGTCCTCCAAGATCCATGGCCACACTAGGCCCTGGTAGTTGATTGGATTTCCAGTTCCAGGCATGATTTCTCTCTTGTTGAGTGGGCTGTAAGACGAGTTAGCTGTTGATTACTGTATGCATGCCACTACTGCATCCTTAGGGTTATTGTTACATGCTGGTCATTGTTGCATTATAGGCATCATAGTTGGGTAGGATATTGATTGCTTCTCTCCCTTGGAAGCTTACATGTGCCTTTTGGTACCATGAAGACTAGATCTTAGGGAGGGGCTTTCCGATCAGATCCATCTCAGGTCCTCTGGGTCCTGTGTCCAAAGTACATGGTATCTTCAGCAATTGGTACTCACCTTCCACCTCTGGGAGCCAATCAAAGGCAACAACAGTCTGTGTTCCGGGAGTCTCTTCAACAGCCCTGACTCAAAGGGGGCTTCTCATGTTTGGTGCTGAGGCTTTTGTTAGATGGTGTGTGGCTCTTGTGGGAATCATTGTCAGCCCACATGGGAAGATTTTATTTAATCTGTGTATGAATACACAAGCTTATGTGTATTAAATGTGATTTTAGGTAAATAGTCAACAGTGTGGTTTCTTATGACCTTTTCAGAATCCTTACTGTTATTTTACCCATCTGTCTCTCTTATTTATCTCCATTCCTCTCCCTAGTTAAAATCCCCCTCCACTTCCATCTTTCCCCTTCAAATCATTGGGACCCTGCTGCCCCCCATCTGCCCCTCCCCCAACAATGTCCCCCTGTACTTTCCTGGTTTCTGCACTTACTCCAGGTTATGTATTCACATGGGAAGACGTGGAGCTGACAGCTGTCATTCACACGCTCATGTTCGTGTCCTGGACTTTGCTCTGTTGGTCTACCCGCCTGTTTCCATGCCAGCGCCATATTGCTTTTGTCACAGTGGCTCTGTGATAGTCTGGAGATCTGGAATTGCAATCCCACCAGCACTGTTCATTTCACTCAGGATTGTTTTGGTAATCTGAGGTCTTTTATGATTCCATAAGAATTTTAGGAGAATGTTTTCTGTTTCTATGGAGAATGAGACAGGAATTTTGATTGAGATTACATTGAACATGTAGATGGTTTTTGTTAGAATGATCATTTTTTGCAGTATTAGTTGCACCAATCCCTGTGCGTGGGGACCTCTCCACTTTCTAGTCTCTCTCTCTCTCTCTTTCCTCAGAGAGTTAAAGGTTTCATTGTAGAAGTCGTTGACTTCCTTGTTTGGGTTTAGTCCTAGATATTTCATTTTCTTTGAGGCTGTTGTGAATAGAACTGTGTGCATGTTCTCTTTCTCTGTGGATTTATTGTTCTTGTAAAGAAAAGCTATTGATTTTTGCAAGCTGATTCTGTATCCTGCCATACAACATAATAATAATTTGTTAAGACTCCCAGTATGGTCATTTTGATTTTATAGTTTTGAAAGGTGGATTTGTTTTTGTTGTGATGAAATCCATGTCAAAACCAGTTGTATCACCCTTTTCCATGAGAAGTGGCACACTGTTCTCTGTAGCTTCTCTAAATGTGTGTCCATGTGAATCCTAGGAAGGGGTTTGGGCAAGTAGATTTACTGTTTTTCTTAATTTTTATGCATAATTTTATGCTACTCTTATCCTTTTCCATAGCAACATGGAGCTTAGCCTCTTCCAAGATAATTTTATTGCTTTCCTTTAAAAATGGAGAGTTCCAGAATTTGCCCTGAAGGCTGGACTCAGGTCCATGCTGTGTATGGTGGTGGTGGAGATACATTTTCTTCAGATGATGCTGGCTGAGATGCTGTGTGAGACTCCCCCTTTTCTCTCTGGTTTGGGTGCCAGGGTACATAGAAGGTAGACTTCTGATCTCCCTCCTTGTTTATCTCAAGATGGAGTTTGGATTAAGTGGGCGTGGCTATCCAGAATCTGTGACCCTGTCTTGAAATAAAAGCCTGGAATACAATCTTAAAGCTATTCTTACAGAATAGAAAGGCAGAGCAAGTCTTCAGAGTTCTGAGTATCTGCAAACCTTTTTGATTCATGAATTTAGATTTGTTTTGATTGTCTTTTGAAAAATCTGATAGAATTTTGTCCTCAAAGGAGAACCCAGAGTTTAGAAACCTAGGCTTAGAGAATATATTATTTTTTCAGTTCATTCTCGTAAGGCAGTAAAATTTAGGACTCTGCCTCTAATTTATCCCCGTGGTGGGTTAGGCTCCATCTCTGGGCTTTGTCCTGGGCTTGCTAACAGGGTGGCTGAAGTAAACTACATTAGTCCCTTAAGCCCACTGTTCCCCTCTCTCTATAGGGATGAGAACACTGACCCTAGGAATCTGTTGTGATAGAAGGGCTCTGAATTCCCTGCTGTGGTCTTATTCTGCTGGCCGTGCATTCTGCTCCCCTTATTGGGATCCGTTCACTTCCCCTTGCAGAATTAAAATCTCTCCTGGACACTCTTTCCTCCTGAGTTGGTGGAAAGATGAGAACCAAACTTGTAAGACACTCTCAAGGCTGTGTGACGCGGGAGATAGCTTCACCTGCCTCTACTTCCTGCCATGTTGTTTCTTCTTGTTCTCTTTCTAATTTGCATTCTGGCTGTATTGACGGCAGATCTACATAAGTCCAGTTAGAACAGGTTCTTAGCTAAGAATTAACCAAACATACAGACACTGCTGCCCCAGTTCACTTTTGTATCAGTTGTATTGGAGGGTGATGATGGAGCTGATCCCAGAGAGACTTCAGGCTCCCAAGCGAATAGTGCTCTGTTCATTGACCCTTCTTCTAGGGTGTTGGTGATGAAGGCTGCCAGCTATTTGTGTAAAAGAACCTAAAAATTCTTAACTGGTATTATTTTTGAATTAGAAGTTGCTAGAGGAGGAGCAAAAGTCTTGAATTAATCTTCATCTCCATTGAAATTAGTCATTGTATTTTATAATATACTTTATTTCACGTTTTTACATAGGCTCTTTCTAGGGGCTATTAAAATCCTTAAGAAGTTGCTTAAGTGCAGTTTATCATGAAGATGCATTTTTCACCATACTTTAGTGTGTCCTTGTTTGGGACAGAGTTCTAAATCCCATTCAAAAGTGAGCACTAAATGAGGCCTGGGAGGATTGATACTAGTATTTTCAATACAATTTCAGCCCAGGAGTAGGCAAGTATGTTGAATGGTCATTGGTCTTTAAAACTATGATTTAATAGTAGATTATATTTAGTTATTATTTTATTTTTTTGAGACAGGATTTCTTGTGTAGCCCTGGCTGTCATGGAAGTTGCTCTGCAGAGCGGGCTGGCCTTGAATTCACAGAAATCTGCCTCCTGAATGTTGGGATTAAAGGCGTGTGCTACCACTGTTTGGCAGATTGTATTTATTTTTATTTTATTTGTGTGTGTGTGTGTGTGTGTGTGTGTGTGTGAGAGAGAGAGAGAGAGAGACAGAGACAGAGACAGAGACAGAGACAGAGACAGAGACAGACAGAGACAGAGATAGAGAATGTGCCACATGTGTGTGAGTGCTGAGGAGGCCAGAAAGGGTGTTGGATCCCTGGAGCAGGACTTACAGAAGGTTGTGAGCCACCTCAAGAGGGTGCTGGAAACTAAACTGGGGTCCTCTACAAGAGCAACAAGTGTTCTTAACCAATGTGTCACTTCTTCAGCTTCACTGGTTTTATTAATATTAATTTTTTGGACAATTTTATCAGCTTATATCTTTTCTCTTATTGAAAGTCTACTAATGCCAGTGGATGACCCAAAGATATGGCTTAGTTCATTGGTAGATCTATGGTAGAGGACTGTTTTGTATGGGGCTCTGACCATATTCTTGTCTCTTGATTAGTGCCCAGCTTAAAAGTCACAGTAAGAGGACTGGATAGATGACTCACTGATTAAGAGGCAGTACTACTCTTGCAGAGAACCTGAACTTGGTTCCCAGCACCCACAGTAGGTGGCTGGAAACGGACTGTAACTCCAGCTCTAGGTGATCTGACATGCCGTTCTTGCCCCATGAGTACCTGCACATAATTTAAAGTAAATATTTTTAAAACGGTCTTAGGAAGAATTTATTTCCTTATCTATTCCTGGACTGAAAAAACAAAACAACTTAAAATATAGGTATTATTACCAAGGTCCTATCTGAATACCAAGCATAGGAATTTTAGTGAAATCCGGACAGTTTAAGTTGACTCAGTTGTAATCTGTTTCTCATTGACTTTGCAAATGCAGTCTTTGGGGCCCAGGGGAGCTTTTTGGGTCAACAACAGCACAGCATCCAAATGCCTCTGTGTGTGAAGCTTATGACATCATCAGCAGTTTCCTCTTCTCTTTCCAGTTCTGTCAGGAGGACCGCTGCCTCAGGGACACGAGTTTGAACTCTATGAAGTTAGATTTCACTGGGGAAGAGAAAACCAGCGTGGCTCTGAGCACACGGTTAATTTCAAAGCTTTTCCCATGGAGGTAAGAGTAATATTCTTTTTTTTTATTTTTTATTTTATTTATTTTTTTATTTTACAATACCATTCAGTTCTACATATCAGCCACAGGTTCCCTATTCTCCCCCCTTCCACTCCCTCCCCTTACCCCCAGCCTACCCCCCATTCCCACCTCCTCCAGGGCAAA